CCTAGCACAGTGATTTCCCGATGGCCAAAGCGACATTTGGAAGAGTTGAGCTGAAGTCCTGCTGTCCGGGAAACCCCAAAAACAGCCGATAGGCGACTGAGGCTTTCAAATGTAGGTGAAAGTACGATGACGTCATCGAGATAGCACAGGCACGTGGACCATTTGTATCGACGCAGGAGAGAGTCCATCATTCTTTCAAATGTAGCTGGGGCATTACACAATCCGAATGGCATAACCTTGAACTGGAAAAGCCCATTCGGTGTAATAAATGCGGTTTTCTCACGGTCTCTATGATCAACAGAAATCTGCCAGTATCCTGATGGTAAGTAGATAGATGAAAAGTAGGCAGACTTATGTAGGCAGTCGAGAGCATCGTCAATCCGTGGCAGTGGATACACGTCCTTACATGTTACTTGGTTTAAGTGACTGTAGTCTACACAGAAGCGCCAGCTGCCATTCTTCTTCTTGACTAGCACGACCGACGATGCCCATGGACTGCAGGAAGGTTTGATGACGTCTTTTGTGAGCATTTCTTCAACTTCTTGCTGGATAACTTGTCGCTCAGCATTAGGCACGCGATAAGAACCTCATCGAATGGGGCTGGCGTCTCCAGTGTTAATTATATCAGTTACAAAGGATGTCTGACCCAAAGGACGGTCATCAAAATCAAAGATGTCACGGTAGGATTTCAGCAGCTGCCAGATATCAGCTGTCTGTGCTGGAAGAAGGTCAGGGGCGATCATCTTGTCGATGGTGGCATCCGCTAGGCTCTTCGAAGAGCAGAACAGAGCAGAGGACGAAGAAGATTCGGCAATGAACGCCGAAATGGAAGCATCTATAGAAGAAACTTTTGCCAAAGTCATACCATCTGGGATAACTTGAGCATACCAGCTGAAGTTTAGGATCGGAAGAGATGCTGTATTTGCCGTGACTGTCAAAAGTGTGTGAGGCACGGCAACATTTTTGGCCAGCAGAATGTCAGTAATAGGTGTCAACATGTAGTCAGGAACAGGAGCGACAGATCTCAGGTTCACGTAAGTAATAGCTTGAGGTGCTAGGCAAACGTGATCTGCAGAACACAGACGTAATTGAGCTGGTGTTGGGTCTTCATGGTAACATTGTAAATCAGGTTGAAGCATGCCGGTTTAACAATTAATAAGGGCAGAGTGGGCGGATAAAAAGTCCATGCCGAGGATAAGTTCATGGGAACATTTCTCGAGCAGAGCAAATAGCACTGTCGTGGAGCGATCGGCAACACTTATACGTGCGGAGCACATTCCAACCACGGGAAAAGTGCCACTGTTGGCAACCATGATGAGTGGTACTGTGGGTGGCGTTAAAACTTTCCTAAGGCGGCAACGAAGTTCTGAATTCTTCACTAATATGTGAGTCCCTGTGTCCACAAGTGCAACAATAGGTGTGTTGTCTACTTCAACGTCAATAAGGTTGCGTCGAAGCGGCAGCATGGTCAGAGGATTTGGTAGGCTAGTGGTCGATGCAGCATCACCTCCGAGAGCTGCATGCATCCAATTTTCCCGCGGCAGGTGGTCAGTGGGCGACGTTGGTCGGCGAAATTGGGGTGAGCGAGACGACGAGCGACGGGAGAGCGGTGAACGGGACTGGTGAGCATGCGAAGATGGAGAGTGACGACGATATGGTGTCACAGAAGGAACGTCTTTACTGGTGGCCTGAGGTGACTCCCGGTAACTTTGAAAGTGTCCATGATTCCTCTCTGGGCGGTGGATGTACCCACAGGATGCCTTATGCCAATACCTTCGGGTGTTACAATGGCGGGCCACGTGTCCGATACAGTGGCAGTTGAAACAAATCGGACAATCGTCAGCAGTCCTCCACTCGGCTGAATTGCGAGGGCGCACCGGAAGGTTTTCGCTTTGGTCATACGAAACGGGGGGTCGACGACGGTCGATCGGCCGAGAGGGAGCTGTAGTGCACTCGGAGGCCAGTCCAGCATTGGAAAGCTCTTGTCACACGAAGGCATGTACCAGTGGCACCATCTGAGGGCTAGAGTCACAGGCATGGGAGCACGTGGACACAGGAGACAGAGGTTCAAGTTCACGTCTGATGATCTTGGTCACGTGCTTTGCAGTTAACAAGCGTCTGTAGTGCAGGCCTGTCTTCGCACGACCAGGTTGCTGCTGTGTTTGGTAGTCGAGTGAAATGGTGGGCGATACGTCGACTTTTTGCGGCCTCAAAACGCTGGCACTCCTTGATGTTGGCATCGACCATGTTGCAGTCCTTGCATATGTGAAGGTTGAACGCACCATCTGCAATGCCTTTCAATATGTGTTCTACTTTTTCGGTTTCTTCGATGCCATTGTCTGCTTTTCGGCAAAGGGCGAGCATGTCCTGTATGTAAGTCACATAGGACTCTGCTGACGTTTGCGCACGAGATGCCAACTCCTTCTCGGCCACGGCCTTTCTATCCACAGACTTGCAGAAAAGGGCGCGCATCTTTTCTTTCCATGCATCCCAGCTTCAAATTAATATTCGAGGTTCTCGAATCATACTTTTACTGTTCCTTTCAAGTAGAACAGGATGTTGGTTAACGTAAGAGTTTAATCCCAGCAGTCATTCTTACTTGTACGTTCGTACAATGGCAATCATTCTTCAATGTCGACATCATCAGTGCCACAGAACCTGCCAGGATCTTTTAGCTGCGGAAGGACAACAGTTGTTGTTGTAGTCGGCTCGGCTGGAGCGGGTCCCTGGTTTGCCATGGTGGAAAAATCCAAGTGGCAGCCACTGCAAATTTTCGTTATATTGTGTTACCCCGCACCACCACCAAATGTCACGGTGGTGAGAAAATTAATGAAATAAATATATTTACAGAGTATATAGGGAGAGTCAGAGGCAGCTAAAGCCAAGATGGAGGTACAACAGCAACAACAACATGAGCACGGTCGTTTTTATCGTCTTCGTCGTCTACCTGATGCTCTCTCGTTGCCGATGTCGTGTAACATCATCGAGATGAGCTCTTTAGTGCTGTCACGTCAAAATCCGACTGCTCTCCAGGCGAACGTTTGGTGCTGTCAGAGCGTTTATGTGACAAAAACACTGTTAGTGAATAAGCTGCATATAAAATTAAAGAATCTATTTCATCACAGCAGTCACAGTGTATTAACTTATGGACATCAATGTACATGTGTATATCGAGCGCAATGAACAAGCGAGGCTCCGCTTCAATGACCTTCTACACGAGGATCAGGGTCAATCCCCAGTGAGCACCTTGACCCACCCTCTGTGAGCGCCATCTGTCGCATCAAACGAAAACAGCCCATGCGGCGAATACACTCTGGGCGCAACACCGTGGGAAGTGTCATCGCTTAGCTTATTCTTACATCCTGCCCTTTACTTATAACATTGGCCCCATTTTCAAGAGTTTTTTTTCTTCGAAAAAACTGCATGGTTTTTCTCCTTAGGATTTTGGCCTTCTGTTTTTCTGCTAGTGTCTTCGCATGAGCACAGGTTCACTGCGTTCATTACTTTCCGTCACTACACTTTTCACTTGTCAGCTCGCCTTCACCCTATCACACACTTCACCATGCTAACACATCACTTACACTCAGTCACTGTTCTCTAATTGACATGTTCAATGTTCATAACTCTGTAATCACAATCTCTATAATACATTACCACGTTATGAACAGTTCAATGGTAGCATTTCTGACGTCTTTTAACAAAATGGTTAATCTTTTTGTGTACTCAGTAGGTTCTCTGAATTTTTGAACCCATTCGTTTAAAAATTGCCTGTCTATAACATGCTGGCACCATCAGTCGTCAAACAGTTAGCTCCATTTTTCCAGAATACCAAATCTATGCTGGATTGATACGTTACTTCATCTCTGTAGCCTTCTCTTCTCGGCTTATGCCTGATCCTATTGTGTTATTCAGGGTCCACGTCTTTTCTCTGCTCTCGGGAGAGTTCATCTGAAGATACACCTGTGTGCTCTAGGTCTGGCCTCTCGGTTTCTCTTTCACGTCTCCCACTGCTCTCTGTAACCAGGGCTTTCCTCTGCTTGTGTTATGTCTAACTTGTACTGCTTTAACCATTTGCTGAATTGTGTCCATCTTGCCCAACGCACCACGCTTCTGGATACAACAGAAACAGCATGCGTAGTATGGGGTGCAGTGCCCCGTTAATGCATGCTTAATCATAGGCTGGGCTGCAAGCACATGCACTAAAGAAATGGTCTAAAGTCAGGGCGATCAGACAGTTATGTGCAGTGAAAGTGAAGTAATTTAGTTCAACATGTTAGCCACTGTGTTCCAGCTCTCGTTTGTGTTTGTTAGCACAAAGATTGCTACTACGTGCCGCTGCCAGTTTATCAACGCCAGCACTCTTACAACTGACAACTATCAGTGTCTGTACTTTTCCAAGTATTTCCTTTGGGGGCGTAAGGAAATTATTAATGTTGCTTGTATACACGAAGAAAACGAAGACGAGTGAATGTGCTGGCTTCCCCGAGCTACAGCTAGACAGAAGACAACGCTGCGAGATTCAACCTGTTGGCCACTCCTGCAATCACCTTCGTCACCTAATGAACAGCCCCTTCAGCTGCACACGTCTTGGTCTTTTCTGAACCTGACAGAGCGTGTATGAATCGGTTTTTTGCATCTTTAGGATAAGCTCTGATTAAAATCGCCCGCAAACTTGCCATATAACCTTGCCATGTACTAAACTTCGTATATGGCAAACTATATGTATAAGCGTAAGCTTGTTATGTATGGTACTTCTACCTTGCCTAAGCAACTTATTTCATAATACTGTATTATGTGATTAGGTCAAGTAGTTTTCAACATAGCGTTGCTTGCTTGAACTTGGTAGCATTCTGAATGAATAGCTTGGAAGCGAGCTATTTAATATTCAATAAACAAGTTTTAGCTCTCTGAATATTTGCCATCAAAATGAGTTCGATTAAATGAGTACGCCAACAAAAGTGCTTCATAACAGAGTGAATTGCTTTGCCTTTCTTTTACAGAGGCTGCGTCCCGCCACTGTTGGGATCTGGCATCTACCGTTCCGTCCAATTTGCTGTTTTTGAAGCTGTGTGAGTGGCATTATGAAAAGACAGTGCTTTTTGTCTTTGTATTATATTTATTTTTGGAAGGGGGTCTCAAAATGAGATGGTGTGAGTAAAACAGAAAATGTGCTCTTAGTATTGCATTTTATCCATCATTAACAATTGGAAAACTTATTTGTACCTTGGTGTCCTGGACCTTTTTTGTACTGCCGAAAGTGATCGACAACAGCAATGGCTTGATGTCCCTTCGTCATATTCAAGGACACTCTTTTGTATGACACTTAAATTCACGCATGTATGTAAAAGAAATCATAAGCACCAGCTGTCCATAGTGGCATAGCCAGGACACACACACATGCATGCATACTTAAGTGCATACTGTAAGTTGTTGAGCAAGCGCCCCCCTGCGGTGGAGAATTATCTGACCAGATTGTGCAGAGGTGCACTTGCCTGGTCCTGGACCGGTCATTGGTGCTTATTTGCCACTTATTTCAGATCTCCAGAAAAAGGAAGGGGAGCACTTACTCAGTTGCGGGTGCTTGCTCAGCATGTAACGGTAGATAAATACTTAGATGCATGCCATAAACTCTCTTTAATTAAGCTTCTCACTTTCTTTCAGGGTAACTATGACATTATTACCGAATAAATTGTGTCAAACACATACAGGGTACTGTAGAATAACATTTTCGTAGGGGAATTAATGCCTGAGAATATGTTTATAGCGAACATTTTTTCAAGCACTTTACCTGTGCTTGGGCGAGTTGGTGCCTAAATAACACATACTGGCCAAAGCCCTAGAATATTCCAGGAGACTTCCGAATTTTGACCTAATCTCTTGATTGTACGAATGTTATCTTATCTTGAATCTCCTTAAAAGTGGCCGCCACTGGAGAGGCTGTTCTTTTTTTAATCACATACATGCGTCAGCCTTTCTTCCAGTGACAGTTGCGGTGCTGCGGAAGAGTACTCGCCAATACCCACTGTAGCCATACCGTAGAGTAGCACTATGTATTTACCGTACATGTGGCTGATGGCCAGTGGTTGCGGGACGCGTTCGCCATTGGAACAAAAAAAGGCAAGGAAAAATAAAGGCACCACAATTTGTGCGTCTTAGCCCCCACATTTTGTATGCTAGGCCTACGCCGCCTACCTGGGCGTCAGTTGTTTACTACATGGTCGTGGGTGCCACGTGCTTCCCCATGTTCAGTAAGAAGGTCAGTGGCAGTGTCAAAAGCAAGGAAGTACTTGCAAGTGTTTTTGGACTCGTACACAGCTGAGTTTCTGTGCTTTCTGAGTTCGTAGAAAGGTGACAAAGGGGTATTCTGTACCATGTGTGCCTGTGATGTAAGCGTTTTTTATGGCAGCAAGGCAGACTTGAGAGGCACATCTTTTCACAGAAGCATCAGAACTACGTTCGGGGGGCTGAAGGTCAGGCCAACATGGGAACTTAAAAAAGAGCTGTGAAAACAGTGCGATTCATGCAGAATGCTGGGGTTTCTTGTAAAACACAACAAGCTTTGGTGATCATGCAGGACTGTTGTTTCGGACAATGTTACGAGAAAGCAAAGCAGTACACTGCAGACGCACGAAACCAGCTGCCATTGTCGGGGTGATGGCTGCTGATGTCGAACACACTATGGCGGATGCTTTGAAGTGCCATGTTTTTGCAACTGGATTCTCAACTTTCACTACCTAGAGAAGCCGCTAGTGTAAATCCAATATTGGGGTTGGGGGATTGTGCATACGCCACTGGATAGTGTGTGCATCATTTTTAACTGCATATTCTTTTTTGGCTGTGGCCACCATATTGTCAAGGCTTTGTTTAAAAGACCATGGAACCTTGCATGTATTATATCCGACGCTGGGTGTTCAGCAACGTGTTGCGGCGTATTATATCAAAGGAGAAATTTTGAACACTTGGCACATATTTGGTATGATGTGAAGTAATGTCCACACAGCTTCGTGAACACAATCCAAGTATTGTGCCTGCAGACTTGCCAATCGTGGAAATATTCACACAAGCTGTAGAAAACAATAAAAGTAAGTGCAAGTACTGTACTGGTTTGTTTATTTTCCTAGGGATAAAGGGGCGGGGGGTGTATCTTTTTTTGATGGGATTTTCCCGGACTTTGCATGTGACCACACTCATGAAATTGCAGTTTCATTTTTTTTTTAACCTGCAAATAGTAGAGAAACAGCTGTTGCTCACCAAGCCTGAATGCTGCGCACAAACAAAGCACTTGCTGCTGGTGCGTGTGGCATGGTGTATATGCACACAGTCGTTCACTCATTGCTAGATCGTGCGAGCGAATGGCCAGGCTCTGCAGAGGGTCAATGTATCTGAGACACCTTGCAGGGAAGCAAAAGTAATGCAGGTAATGACAGGTGTAGAGCAACGCTGATGCCTCTACTTCTTGTCCTATGTCCTTTCACCTCAATGTATGGCTACAAAGGAAGCAGTGGTGCTCTGAAGAGCGCAGCCATCCGCTAGCATGATCTAGCTAAGAGTGAATGACCGTATAGCTACAGTCGCTACCTCTTTGTTCGAGCCCTATTAGTACTAGCACAGCAGAAACTATGCTGCTTTTATGCACTTGTAAACAAAAGGCTCTTAGTTATATTTGGGAGCTGAAGCGCGAGGTAGCACGCCGTGTGTGCAAAATTTTCGGCATGCTTGAAAACTGATTACATTGCCGCAAACATGTTATTTCACATCAAATTTTTATTTTCATTACGTATAGTGTCACAGATGAAGGACACCAGAAAAGAGATTTGCCAATAGGCTGCTTTACTAATCAACAAACTTCTGTTTGTTGATTAGTCGTCGTGTGTGCACTGCGATAAAGAACAGTTCACAAGAAAATGAGGCTATGTAATCAGTACAGAATACAAGTAAAACACAACAGTTTACAAAAAAAAAACATGTTGATAAAAAACATAATAGAGAAAGTAATTCCCTCCACTTCAGATGTGCTGCTTCTACTCATGTGTGGGCACAGGCGGGTCCAAAGCGGGGCTAGCTACTCGAAAATGGGGCCCAATGTCTCCGCCATACTATGAGTGGGGCGGAGGGCAGCTTCAACAAACCTTTGTCCCCCACCTGGGGGAGATCGAACCCTACGCATGTTTATGATTCTAGTGAAGTTCCACAAACTGATGTGTTTCTTTTCTCTCTCTCTCTCTCTCTTTGTCTGTTCTCTTGTGGGGTCACTGCTCTGTCAAAGTACAAAACCTTGCTTTTAACTGCATGGCAACACCCAGCTCACTTTCTTATTCTTGTATCTGTAGTTCACAATCGGAAAACAATACAATGTAAATAACTGCGACTACAACTCGCAGTACCTGTCTGATTTCGGTAGTTCACTGCAAAATTCAGGAAAGCCATCGCAAAAATAACCAGAGACTAAGTATAAAGCACCTGCGAATTGCCAAAGTGAGGCCAACTGAACATTGGCATAGGCTGGTTGCCGCACGGCGGCGCTTCTATTTGTGAAAGTTGCGAATCGCAGTAGACGGGTGCAACGGTAGTGGGTAGCAAATGTCTCTACTTTAGCGATTTACAATACACAAGTTCCCCCTTCCCCTTGCTGCAGGTATAACTTTTTCGTCCATTGCAGCTCATGCATGGGACGCAAGCCCATATTGGAAAGGGTGAATATTCTAGGCAAAAGCAAACAGAGGGTAGAGTTCTTAGAAGCTTTTGATATTAAGGAAATGGGCAACAAGTGCGTGACACTTTAGTTGCTCTCTACTATAGAGAAAGTAATCTTCTGCACAGCTTTTGTTGGCATGAGGTGATCTTGACATGTGTTTCCTCCTCTCCTTCTTTTTCATCTATTTATTGGGGATGTGGGGAAACAAAGGGCATTATATGCAGTGACCAAAGGATTGAAACCAGTTGATAGTTTGCGCTCTTTACGTTTACTCTGTCCTTTTCCTGTCCGACCGATTGCACAAGTCCCATCACAGGTGCGCACCAACTCGCCCAACAAGATGTTTTTCTAAAATAGCAATCATACCCAGGTGTTCTTTTTTTTTTTTACGATACAGATTTTTATAAATGACATTTGCTATGACTAACACTTCTGCCTTCGCAAATGAGCTCTGTGCCGATGCAGAAAAACTTCGCTGCACCTAAAGTTATATGCAAATGAGCAGTTGACAAGCAATCATTAATTGAAATTTTAATTAATAACTTGACAGTTGTTTATATTGAAAAGTTATCAAACGAATAACTTATAAAGTACCTATTTGTTAAAGTTCCAGATATTAATAACTGAAACTAAGAGGCCCAGTCCAGGCAATACTGAAACTGAGCACACCGAGGTGCGGGGGAGATGTGCCATTCCGGTTATGTCGGAAGGGAAAGCTTACGTGACAAATAATGGGGAAAAAAATGAGTTTTGCCGCAAAGGCAAATAAATGCATGCGATAAGCAACAAATAGCAATTTCCTGTGAGAAATGCAAGCAAATCGAAACATGCAGCACACTGCTGAAGCACAAAACACACATGAAGAGAACTGGCACAGGATGAGTGCGAACTAGCTACGTTTACAGCTCAACACTTAGCGTATTGCTTGAACACAAAGGACACATTAAACGTGTGCACAGGACAAGCTCGAATAACAAGTGTCACAGTTGTTAATTCACTGTGCTTGAACAGCATGCTTTTTTCGCAAATGGGACCTCTGCAGTGATTGAAGGGACCTTCGTGCGCTCTCTTACTTGAACGAATCCGGTAAAGTACACGATGTACAAGCTGCCTCCATCACTTATTTTTTCAATGATTTCTTGGTCTGTCATGGTACTTATTGGTTCCTGGTGTAGTGCCGTTCAAGAAAAGCTTCTTTGAAAAGATGAAAGTGTATGAGACTTCGTGAACCTAGCTGTTAGTTAAATGAAGGCCCTAGTTGTCTTGAATGATGTGGCTGAGATTGTTTGAAATTTTTCGAAGTCTTTCTTTGTGTAATCTCTAATGGATTTAGGGTTGTTGTGTGAATGCGATATCTGAAATATTCATCAAAATTAGCAATATTATCACTTGGATCTGGGTCAGCCATTACTGTAGTCACAAGGTATAGTGCTTGAACATTATCAAAAAGTGCAGACTATGAAATTAGAGTTGGGAGCAACGAGAAAGTGCAAAAATTCATGAATCTGTCAGATTCCTAAGATTACAGTGCTATGTAAGGGTGAGCTCAAGATGTTGGGGAATCTCATCTAGAAACTGCACTTAGAAAAGACTGTTATAAGAATTTTTTAAGCAGTGGGTGGTTAGCGACATGTAGTGACAAGTGAAATGTACCAGCACAGCTACATGCAATCACTGTTGTTACACTTATAGCTAAATAACAATTAATTTGACCACTAGTGCAATTGGCACTCTGTCACCGCATCACTTAGATAAGAAATGTCGAGATGCATTGAGCCTTCTTTAGACGCAGCCTAGTAAACCAAATCCAAGACATATAAACTTTGAAAAACTATTTTATTTCCAACTATGTAAAGCATCTAAAAAACAGTCATTTCGGAGCTGGCATGGTTGCATCCTCTGGGGGGAAGGGAGGACTATGGCGACATTGCAGCGACGTCTTGACGGCGCTCACGCGGCGGTTAATAACCCCACGTTTTGCCGTGGATCATAGTCCCTGTATATGTTCATACACTGGGGAAAGAAAGGGTTCCGAGGGAACGATTGATGTTTTGGGCTGTTTGCTGTATATACCAGGACTCGAGTTATAGTCTCCTCTTCCACTTAGTCTCACTTTCCAAAATGGTTGTTCCGTTGAAATTTATCTTGTGGTCACACATCTCTCAATGTTTGGCGACGACACTGTGCTCTTTGTTGAGCTTCTGAAAGTCATTGATGTGTTGAGCCGTTTACCTAGCCAACCAGTTTGCCTACCCAGCCAGGCAGATTTCCGTCTAATGTTTACATTCAGGACGAAGAAACCATATGGGATAGTACATGTAGTTTCTTTTTACTACAGTCACGTGGCAGTTATGATGTAAGCGTAAATGAACAAAAGTGGACAAAAAACACCAATTGTCTGTGCATCCCAGACCCGCAATTTCTGAATTGAACGTCTAGTGCTCTAACTTTGTCATTAGGTACTATGTGAAGCTTTGAAGCGAGGAATCCAGCCTTCAAGAACATGTACGCAAGAATAGAAATAAGATGACCACACACTCCTTGTGTGTACATGTTTTTTTAAGGCTGGGTTCCTCGATTATGTACCAACAGGCCCAACACTAGACTGTTCGACCACGAAAATGTTTATTGACCATCTCGTGATATTATCGCATGATATGTGGTACCCTCTTGCAGAGAGACCGTTCTACACTTACCGCATTGGCTATGAGTTGCGCTGGCTAAGACTCCCAAGAATTACACACTCAGAAGCACCCACCGAAGTGCTTGATTGGTAGCGCACTGAATTTGAAAGTAAAAGCTAAACCTCAGTTAATTGGGTTTTACTGTCGCCACTTGCTCATAACTATTCTTCTGTGGGTTGCATGTCACGCCAGTGTTGCTTGCTTTTTCCTTCCAGCTACACGTACCTAGACAACACAGTGTGCACCAGCCAAATTCCTCTCACGGCAGGATTACAGACGTAAGCTCTTCCATGCACGTTTGTTATGAAGTAACACAAGACTGCTCACTGCTTTTTACCATTGGTGTGTTTGAATTGTGCAGGAGAGTCGTCATAGGAGGCGTCATTGCGTCGACAGCCCGAGCTATCATTGAATGCCCCTTAGAGTATGCTAAGGTGATGAAACTTTCTGAAGGGAAATAAGTTATTTGCAGTAGTTGTGACTAATACATTTAATCATTGCAGATAAGCCGCCAAATAGGTCAGACGTGGACGCTGCGCAACGTTTACACGGTAAGATTTAAAACCTATTGTACCATACTTATGTGCTCAGTCTTGGTTTTCACTGAACTTTTTAAAAAGTCTTAAACACATGTACCAGCTAGGCGTAATGGAAGTATGATTGGGATTTAAGCTTGGCCTCAAAAATTTTACTAAACATTGATGCCTCTTTTGGGGGATGTTGCCACAAGGACATCTTTGATACAGTTTGCAATTTTATTCGAGCTACTGAACTTATCCCATTTTAATCTCTGCTTTAACAAATAGGTTGCAGCCCACTTATAACGGTATCCAAGATCGAATGAATTTTCGTTATAACGGATAATTGTTATAAGCTGGCTGACAAGAAATGGGTCAAAACATATATTTGTATGCAAGTAAGGCAGCACAACTATGTTCTTGTTTTTAGAAAAGTCAGTCTGTCAGCATTGATTGCTTTTTGTGAAGCTTGCGCACAACTATTTTGTCATTATCATTTCTTTACCCTCGCCTCAAAGGGCATTACATAAGGGTTGGGGATGTAACAGGGTTGACAAGGTGGCATCACATAATTACTTCAAGAGAATTAAGGTGCTCCAAGCAGCTAAGCGAGAGGTCCTTCACCAAAACAAAGTCTCGGAGGGACTGCATCATCCGTTGGGTCTCCTGCTATCCGAGCACTTGGGTAGGCTGCTCAATAACGTCGTTGTAGTGGCCGCTCTCACTGCTGTCCTGAACACTTTACACGCAACGATCGCCACATCACTGAAGCATTTGGGCGTTTCCACAATATTGTTGGCATAAAAGTACGTGATCCAGACACAACGCATCTTCGTTAAGCACTGGTCGTAACACTGGCAGCAGCTCTTCGTCCACAGGCATCGCTTCTGCAGGACAGCTCCGCCTTCTTTCGCATTCAACTCATTTCTTGGGTGTGTCAACAGGGTGTGTAGCGCATGTCGCACCCCGCAGGGGCGTCTGCGCAAGCAGGTGTTTGGTGTTTGCAACACTTTGGACCCGAGCCAACGGGGCGGTTTCGACTCCCTCCCATGCCTCGCCGTGGGTGGCTTAACCGTATCCGGAGAAAAGGGGATCCTGGGGGTTGAGCCGACGCCGGTTTATTGGACCTTTAAGGCCCTTCGGCAGAGGCAACACACCCCTTTGGCCCTGGCTTCACGCAGACGGCACCCCTGGACTCACCCACCCAGGGGAAATCGGCAGTCGCCTTTTCCTATCTCTGTATTTCCTAATCTTCGTCCTTCTCTCACATTTTTTATCTGTCCTGTCATCTTCTTTCTTCCATTTACTTCCATATTTCCTGGCTTTAGGGTTAACGTTGTGTAGGTAGTTAACCTTGGGTAAATACATTAGGTTGTAGTGACGATGCATGGCTGGCGTCTCCAAGTGTTTGTGAATCAACCTTCTAGCGTCCCCTTGTTGGGCTCAGTGGTGGGTGGCTACCATTGCCACAGAAATAAATACTCCCCGTATGGCAAATGCTCTTCCCCGCTTTCCTGATCGCTTCCTCAAAAGGTGGCGCACCAAAGGAGCAATCGCCCTAACCAAACTAAAGCAGAGCTTCCCAAAGTATCATGTCATCATAGTCAAAACGAAAAGAAGAAAGTCCGAGTGATTTCGCTGTTCCTAGTGTCAAAAACTCTAACGGAAGAAGTTGGCCCAGGGTACAAAATCACAAAGATGGGAAGTGGCGACCTCCTATTAGAGGTTCGAGACAAAGCACAATACGACAAACTATCCAGAACTGTATCATTTGGGGACACTCCCGTTTCTGTAGGCCCACACAGGTCTATGAACACTGTCCGTGGGGTAATTTCTGATGATGATCTTATCAAATCTGAGCGAGAGCGAACTGTTAGAAGGATGGCAAAATGAAAACGTAGTGAAGGTACAGAGAATAAGGATCAGGCGTGACAAGAAAGAGACCCCTACAAAACACGTAATAATCACCTTTGGAATAAGCCACCTACCAGATTCAATAGAAACCGGCTATTCCAAGCTCCGTGTAAGACCATATATTCCTAATCCTCGTCGATGCTTCAAGTGTCAGCGTTTCGGGCACGGATCGCAGAGTTGCAGAGCGCGCACCACTTGCGCAATGTGTGCATCCCATCAACACATATCTGACGAATGCACCTCAGAAGCAACTCATTGTTAGAACTGTGAAGGAGATCACCCTGCCTACTCATCATCATGCCTAATATGGAAAAAAGGGAAACAAATAGTAGAACTCAAGGTCAAATTTAATCTGTCATTCCACGAGGCACGTAAGCGTTTCGCACTTCGCAACCCCTCTTATCACACACATATCACTTCACAACCCCGTACACAACTTATGTACTCATTACCAATAAGAAAAATGTTCTCAAATTTTAATACAGCATCGGGAGAAACACCCTGTGTGAAACAACATACTTTAAATATTCAGGGGTGACAATTACAAACAACTTAACTTGGCACCATCATATTGAATCAGTTTGTTCTGGGTCATTTAAAACATTTGTTATCTTCGAGCGAAGTTGCATAAAACACCGAAACACGTTAAGCTGCTTGCATACCAAACATATTTTAGACCTAGACTGGAGTACGCCTCTTTGGTTGGAGCCCTCACCAAAAACACTTACTTAACAAGTTAGAACGTATTATTCAGAGGCGTGCAGTAAGGTTTGTGTGCTCTAGATATAGAAGGCGGGATTCAGTAACTGACATGCTCGATTTTTGCAATTTAGAAGCACTTAAAATTCGAAGACAAAAACAAAGACTTATATTGTATAATGCAAGGGATATTAAAAATACCTAAAGACGGGTACATACGCCTTCCCGGAAAACGTAGCGCTAGATTGAATCATGATGCCCCCATGAAATGTTTCAACGCTCGCACTGACATCTTTTGGTGGTCATTTTTTCCGGATGCTATAGAACAATGGAATTGTTTACCCCATCATGTTGTTAATAGTACGGATGTGCAGTCTTTTGACAGAGAAATTGATGCTTATTTTGGTCGTGGTTGAATTGAACTACTGCCAATTTTGGTTTCTTGTGTGCATTGCTATTTGAGTACCAGTTGTTTTGGTTTTCTGTTTGTACTTACTACTGTACTCCCTCCCTGTTATGACCCTCAAGCGAAGGTTGACATTAATAATAAAGAAATATATAAAATAAATCCCTCCTTCACAGATGTTATGCACCGGGGTGCCACGCCACATGTCACACAGAGTGTGTCTGCACCCCCAAATGTCACACAGTGTGTGGCCGCGGTCGTGCCACCAGCGCCCCCGGCTGGAGCAGCCTGTGCTGCTCCGCCACCTGACAAACAGGGCCAGCAGACTAGCGTGTCTGCTGGACCCCAGACCACTGTCAATGCAGTTAGGCCCGAAAGTTCTGTGAATGTGCCTGCCGAGCAGGCACCATCCACCACTTCACAAGGGGCGATGGATACAAGTCCCACTCCTCCGGCAACTCAGACGCCGAAGGATAGGCGCAACTCTGGAGCGTGTCAAAAAAGAAAAACGCCCAATTATAGGGCCCCCAAAAGGCCCTGTAACCTAAGGCAACACTTTTTGTACACGCAGCACCACAGAACATTAAAATAACACAAATACTACAATGGAACATCAGAGGACTGTTAAGTAACTTCTACAATATCTAGGAACTTTTACACAAACATACACCAACTGTGCTGTGTGTGCAAGAAAAACTTAATATCAAAACATGCCAACTTCTTACGCAATTGCATTATTTTTCGAAAGGACCGAAATGATGCAATCACGTCATCCGGTGGTGTTGCCATTATAGTTAATGAAGGAACAGCCTCTACATATTTACTTCTTCAAACATCTCTTGAGGCAGTGGCTGTTAGAGGTGTTATATTCAACAAACTAGCGACAATTTGTTGTATTTACATACCTCTCCATCACCAACTCAATAAACAGGAATTCCAGTCTCTAATTAATGAACTTCCAGAGCCGTATCATCTGCTTGGAGACTTCAATGTGCATAACAGTTTATGGGGAGACTTTTCTTTTCTCTTCTGGTGCATGTCTCTTGAATCACAAAATATCAACATATTACAATATTACTAACAACACATACTCGTTAATAGACCGTAGCATTTCATCTCCATGGCTTTTTGCTCTCCTCAAATGGAAAGTCATCAATAATTGATATGGAAGAGATCATTTTCCTATAGTTCTCAGCACCACAACTGCAAATGATAGTGCTCCACTGGTTCCCAAGTGGCTCACCCAAAAAGCTGATTGGGGACAGTAACAAAAAGTTACTCTCTTAACCTGGAATGAGATGAGTGCGTCAAGCATAGAGGCTGCTGTGAATTATAACTTTACTGCTTTTTTGGTTGACGGTGCAACCAAATGTATTCCACAAACAAGGGGACTGTCAGGCAAACGTTGTGTTCCATGGTGGAACGAAGAGCGTCGTAATGCACGGAAAAAACAAAACAAGGCATGGAAGCTGCTTTGAAACTCGCCGACGTATGAGAATCTTATAAACATTAAGAACATAAAGTCCCAAGGCAGGAGGACGTGCTCACAAGCTAAAAGAGAAAGTTGACATACATTTTTATCGGGCATCACCTCATATACACAAGAGGGTAAAGTATGGAACAGGGTGAGCAGAGTAGAAGGAAAAGGAGCACATTCACTCCCTCTAGTAAATGCACAAAGGGACAGCTTGGAAGACCAGACAAGCTACCTGGGCGCACATTTTGAGCAGGTTTTCAGCTCTTCACACTACTCTCCAGAGTTCAAACGCTACAAGACAAGAGTATAAAAACATAAACTAGACACAAGATGTACTAAATATGAGGCATATAATCACCTATTCTGCTTGGCTGAGCTACAGGCATCTCTTAATTGCTGTAGTGATTCCACCCCGGGATCTGGCCGTGTAATCTATGAAATGTTGAAAAACCTTCTTTTCCCTGTACAATGCCATCTGGTTTTCTGGCATCAACCCTCCCTCTTGAAAGGGGTCATCGTCATTCCCATATTGAAACG